GTGCCCATCTTCAGGAACCAGCATTTAGGATTTCAGTGTAGTTCCCTAGAGCGACATTGGGTGTCACCTTTGCGTTGTTCGAAGCCAGTTTTCCCAGAGCTTGACTGTGCATTCTCTCCCCAGGATTCAGCTCGGACGTACACTCATTACCAGGACTCTGCTCTCATTCAGCCTGAGTAACACGGTTCTCATTGTCCTAAAGAAGAGGGTTCCCTGCAGCCTGATGAGTTTGAAGTTGGGGTCCAAAGCCAATAGCTTTGCAAATGACTTCTCTCTCTGGAAGGGAGGAGCTAATACAGGAGAGATGGTTTATACAAAGTCCCTCCCAGCTTGGGGCCCCTTCTCCCAGAATTTCCTGCATTTTACACGCACGTCTGTGTTGACACCATGTTGTAAGCAGCTGTGAGTAATTTGAGGGCAGGGACTAATATACTCTTCTCTTTCAATTTTCCCCTTTGCATATATTTATGACATTTAAATTTTTCATGGAAATGGGATATTTTAATACTATTCTGTGATGATACCTCTTTCCCCACTTGATAGTATGTTATAGCCATCTTTCCATGTTAGTGCATGTGTTTGTATGTCCTAGCATGCTATTTGGAGTCTCTCTGCCCCTGAAAAGTCTAGCCTGAGCTCAGAGTTCCATCCCCTTGGATTCTCAGGGTCAGGTGAGGATTGGGAGTGGTCCCTGTTCATGCGCCTGCTAATTTATTCATTCCAGCACAATTTATTTAACCAGTGTTCTACTGATTTTTATGTTCTAACACGGAGAAATAGATATAATGCATTATCAAGTTGGGGGCGGTGTCACAGGAGAGTATTAAGGTGCAATCCCATTTGGAGGCTATTTCTAGCCTTTTCAATAGTGCCACAATGCTCTCCTTACTCAGCGTTTGTTTTACGCATATTGAATAAATTGCGAGAAGTGGCACTGCTGACTGCACACACAATAGATAGTGCCAAGTTCTCTCCACACAGGTGGTGCTGATATTTACTCCCGTGACAGCATGTTACCAAGCTGATCTTTTCTTTTGTCTTTTTTTTTTGGTACTGGGAATCGAACTCAGGACCTTGTGCTTGCCAGGCAGACACTGTGCTACTGAGCCATCTCCCTGGCCCTGTTCTTTTTTATTTGTGCAGGCACACATTTTTCTCTCTCTGTCTTTTTTTTTCTTTCTTTTTTTTGAGACAGGGTCTCACTCTGCAGTTCAGGCCGGCCTTGAGCTCACTTTGTAGCCCAGGCTGGCTTTGAACTCACAACAATCCTCCTGCCTCAGCCTCCCAAGTGCTGGGATCACTGGCATGCGCCCCCACGCCCGGCAACTTTTCTCCTTTGTATTCTTCTTTTTTAAACTTTTTTCCTATTCTTGAAGTATTGGACTATTGTGTGTGTGTGTGTGTGTGTGTGTGTGTGTGTGTGTGTGTAAATTGTTGATCTGAAGAAGCTTTCTGTGTGTTAGGGGAAATTACTCCTTTGTAATTTAAAATGCAAATATTTTTCTTAGTCTGTTGTTTACTTTCACATCATCTTTTTAAACACTTGCCACTGAATGGGCATATCACCATTTTATTTTGGTACCAGAAATCGAACTCAGGACCTTGCACTTGCCAGGCAGGCACTGTGCTGCTGAGCTATCTCCCTGGGCCACATATTATTTTAAAGCAGCCCTTCATTACTAGGCATTTTGGTTGTTTCCCTTTTTCCTTTTTTTTTTTGAGACAAGGTCCCGCTATGAAGGTCAGGCTGATGTGGCCCAGGTTGGCCTAGAACTTCCATGACCCGTCTGCCTCAGCCTCCTGAGTGCTGGGATTACAGGCGTGTGCCACCATGCCCGGCAAAAAGGTTTTATTTTTGAGCTAGGGTCTCACTAAGCAGCCCAGACTCGTCTTGAATTTGCAATCCTCCTCCCTCCATCAGCCTCCAAACCCCACCTGGGATTATACACGACTATACCGTTCCTGCTTGAGTATTGGATATTATACTTTTTAAAACTTTAGCTTTTAAAAAGAAGACATTTTTATTGGTTAAGAGAAAGAATCTCCCCCATACCAGTCACCCATTAACTCAGGCAGAACTTGTGTTATTTTTACTCCCCTTATTTTTTACTTTTTCCATATTATTTTGAAGCAAATCACTTCATCCAAAAAGATTTCAGGATTTAGAGAGATGGGATCTTTGTATGAAGAATTTGCCATCTGTCCTCCCAGTACTTCCTGCCAGTGGCAATGGGAAGTGACCCAACAGCACTGGGAAACACCCTTTGGAGGTGGATGTTTAGTCCCACCCGGTGTTTGTTGCATGGCGCTTACTCTTGTTTTGCAGGCAAGAGAGAGGGGTATCCTGCCATCCTCCTCTGGGCCACTGAGAAGTCCCCGCAGACCCAAAGCTCTGCCTCAGCCATACATTTTCACTTATTTTGTAATTCATTCCAAGGGCAGGCCGGAAAGTGCCATCCATTTGGGAGTCATGTAAGCCTCTTTGCTTGGCCCCCTTTTGTTCAGACGTTGCTTCCATGAATCAGACCCATGCTGATATGCACGTCTCTCATCTCTCATGCAATCTTATCTTTTACAGAATTAATTAGTTTCTTTTTATAATTAATTAGTTTCTTAATTGACATAATAATTGTACATCTCTGTGGGGTACAGTGTGTTATTTAGGATATTTGTACATTATCTCAGGCATTTATCCTGTCTCTGTAAAGAGAACATGGGGAATGTATGCCTGTTGTCCCAGCTGCTTGGGAAGCTGAGGCAGGAGGACTGCCGTGAGTTTCAGGCCAAGTTGGACTACACAGTGAATTCAAGGCCAGCCTGAATTACATAGTGAGACCTTGTTGCAAAAAAACTGAAAATAATTAGTTAATTAATTAAATTTAATAAAAAACAGAAAGGGTTGGGATATAGCTCAGTGGTAAAGCCCTTGCCCAACATGCTTGATGCCTAATGTTCAAGTTTAATCTCCAACACCACAGAGAGAAAAAGAGAAAGGAGGAGAGAGAGAAAGAGAAGAAAAAGAGAAAGAAAAAGAAAAAGAGAATCAAATCATACAAAATCCCCTTTTTGAGCCGGGCGTGGTGGTACACACTGTAATCCCAGCACTCGAGAGCCTGAGGCAGAAGCACTGCCATGGGTTTGAGGCCAGCCTGGGCTACATAGTGAAACTCTGTCTCAAAAAAAAAAAAAAAAAAAAAATCTCCTTTTCTAGCTCTTTTGACTCATAGAATACAGATGATAGCCACTGGCATGAGGCAGTATGGTGGCTGTTATGGCTCAGATCTAAAATGGCCCCTAAAGCCTCATGTGTTTGGAAGGTGATTAGATTATGGGGCTTATAGCTGATTTGCTCTTAGGAGGTGGGGTCTGACTGGAAGAGGCGGTGACCTGGAGGTGTGCATGTCCCTTCCTCGCTCTTCCCCATGGCTTCCTGGCAGCCATGACATGAGCAGCTCTCCTCTGCCAGACCCTTCCCCCATGTGCTTCTTGCCTCGGAGCCAGCTGGCCATGGCCTGAAAACGTGAGCCAAACTAACCTTCTCCTCCTTTAAGTGATGGGACTCGGGTATTTTGTCCAGTGACTAGGAAATTGACTAAGGCAGTGGCCATCTCAGTTTTGTGATGGAGGCCACCAAGACCTGGGAAGGGAAGGAGAATTTCCCGAGTTCACATGTCTGTAAGAGGGAGAGCCAGGCTTCTTCTGCTCACCCACACTGTATCTCAAACACGACCCCTCTGGTTCAGCCTCCAGTGCCGTCTGGAAGGCAGACAATCTTCATTCAGCCCGGCACAGAGGGCTAGTGACCAAGGAACAGAGCCTCACACTGATATTGCCGCTGGTCTGCCTACAAACCTCCAGACCATTGTCTGGAGACTTTTCTTGCTCTGGACAGCTTTTCTGTCTCCATTTTCAGCTGGCTTCACCCCAGGGGTACCAGGCACTAGGGGGCGATACTTTCCAGGCCATGCCCCCAGGAGAGTTCCACCGCTGTGGGCCCTGCCTCCTCATTTAGTTAGCACCGTCAGTGCCAAGATGGCTGTCGGTACTCAGGATTTTGGAGGCAGAGAAACCACAGGGACCTTTGGAATGATTTCACATCATGCTGCAGGAACGGCCTGTGACATCCATGCAGAGTTAGGGTACTTGGCCCGGTGGGCGACTGGGGCTGGGGTCTACTTTGCCCACCTTGTGAGGACTGTGCACCACCAGGAGAGGTACGGAACACTAACATGCCTGAAAGTCATTGTGCCTTTCTAATGTTAAATGTTAAACCTCGGCATGATAGTGCATATCTGTACTCCTGCACTCTGAGAGGCTGAGGCAGGAGAATCACAAGCTCCAGCCCAGCCTGAACAACTTAGTGACAGCCTGTCTCAAAAATAAAAAGGGGCTAGCTCCATGTGAAGGTCCTAGGTTCAATCCCCAGTACAACAAATGACAACAATCCCCCTCTCCCAAAGGTTAAAGTAACTAGAGATGGGATTTATTTCCGCTTAGCCACATTAAATCAAGGTGCCTGCCTGAGGAGGGGAGAGGGGAGCCCAAATATGTCTCACCTGTGTCCTCAGTTCTGAGGAGGCCTCCTCAGCCCTAATCCCTTCTGGGAGTTTGTGACACTATACTTCTTGCGGCTCCCAAAAAACTCAGGCTACATCCTTCACCGCCCGAACTCCCCGCATGGATCATGTGTTAGTGGTCATACTTTATTCTCTCTCTGTAACATTTCAGAACTTTGATGACTCTTGCTGGTTTTCTCCAAAAATGCACCTCTCGTCTGTCTTTTGCCTTTGTCCTGTCTGTTTCACTCTCACGCTGGGCTCAGCCTTTGCTCGCTCTCATTTGAAGGGGGGTGGGCAGCAGTTCCCTCTGCTGACCAGATAAGCTTATAAAAGGCAAGTCAGAACTTGTCGCTCTTTTGCCTCCATGATTGTCTCAATGGCTGTCCTCCCTTTGCCTGCAGGAAATCCAAACTCTCTCCCTTGGCCTTGAGGCTGTCTGTGGGTCTTGCTGGCCACCTTCCCCACCGAACTCTCAGGCAGCCTGGTGTTCTTCCAGTTCCTGCGCTAGAGTGCTACTTGTCCAGTCCCAGGACGCGGGAGGGAAGCTGAATGCGCAGCTTCCCCTGGAGTCATTGTGAGTTCAGCCCTTCTCGTCTTTCAGCCCCTCCTAGGAGCCTTCCCTGCTCATCTTGGCAGGTCTGTCCCTTTCTCAAGTAACACCATGCTTTTCATTTCCTTCTAATCATTCATTGTCATCAGCCCTAACCCTTACTACCTATGAATGTGACTTTACTTGGAAATAATGTCTTTGCAGAGGTAATTAAGTTAATCGAGATCCTATGGGTTAGGGTGGCCACAAATCCAATAACAAATGTCATGAGAAGAAGGGACTTTAGAGACAGGCAGCCACGGGGGTAGCATCCTGTGAAGGTGGGTGCAGACATGGAGCGATGCACACAGGCCAAGCAATGCCAGGGCTGCCGGCAACCAGAAGCTGGCGTCAGCAAGGGTTCTGCCCCACGGCCTCCAGAGAAGCCAGCCTTGGCAGCACCTTCCCTGTGGACTTCTAGCTCCACTCCCAGATCTCTGAGAGAAGATATTTCTATGGTTTTAAACCACTGAGTTGTGCTAATCTGTTACTAGAAAGTTAATACAGCTGGTAATTATTTTGTTGGTTTAGCGTTTTCTTTTACTTGACGAGAGTTTTACTTCATTAGGTTCTTTTCTTTTCTTTTGAGATAAGGTCTTGGTATGTAGTTCAGGCTGGCCTTGAACTCTATGTAGCCCAGGCTGGCCTTGAACTTGTGGCGATCCTCCTGCCTTGGCTCCCAAGGGCTGGGATTGCAAGCACACACTATTGCACTCATTGTCTTTTGTATGCCCAGTGGTGTGTGTAGCATATACTACATAATAAGTACTAAACAAATATTTTTGGCTCAATCAATTCCCTCCCATCCAGTCAGCCAAAGGGTTTATCAACTTTAGCATTATGTCCCTCACTGTCTGCTGCCATTGTTTCAACTTCTGCTTATCATCTCCCACTGGGTTACTTTTAATTTTTAAAAGTTTTATTTTTTGTGGTGCTTGGGGTGGAACCCAGAGCCTTATACATGGTCGGCAAGCACCCTACCATGGAACTACGCCTGCAAGGTCTTACTATAAAGTTCAGGCTCACGTTGGACTCACAGTGTAGCTCAGGCTGGCCTCGAACTCACAGTGATTCTCCTGCCTCAGCCTCCCAAGTGCTGGGATTATAGGCGTGTGCCACCATGTCTGGCCAAGACATCAATTTTGAAAGCATGAGTTTGCATATCATTATTATATGCATGAAGAAAATACATTAAGTAGAAGACTTAATGTAGGCTCACATTCATATTAAAATTATGCCATGTGCACTAGAGATGTAATTTTAAATATGGAAATAAAGGAATTCATTTAAATCATAGCTCTGAATTGATGTTCTCCATTTCTGAAATCGTCCTAATCAGAAAATTTCAAAGAATGTTTAAAATGCACGGTTACATATTTCAGAGCAATTCCAAAATTTAATGTGTGCAAATTATTCATACATTCATAATTTTATTATAGCACATCAGATTTGGTGAATCAAGTACAGGGTAAAGAGAATATCTATTAGCTGTTAAAAAGTGAATTTAAATGTTGTAACTACCTTCCTGTTGACTCAGGGCTCTCACTGAAGCCCTTGCTATTAATACAGTTGGCAGTTCTTGTTGATTTGAAAGGGTAAGTTGATGGGAACTCATCTCCTTAAAAAAATTTCTTTAACAAGATCAGGCTTTCTGCTGGGAGTGTAGCTCAGTGGCACAGTGCCTGCCTGGCAAGGGTGAGGTCCTGAGTTCCATTCCTGGTACCAAAAGAAAAAAAAAGATCAGGCTTTCTGTAGCACTGAATGGAACTATGCACTGCTTTTCTGAAGCTGCTTTTGTTTGATTTAGAAAGTTTTAAAAATAGGCTCAGCAAGGAAAGGAATAAGTGATTGAAAACAGAAGTAGAAATATGCCTTTGATAGTACAACCTTTCAAGGGAATGCCCTGTGAGATGAGCATGGTGTGAATTTTATTTTTATTTTATTTTATTTTTATTTTATGTTATTTTAGAGATAGGGTCTTACTACATAGTTCAGGCTGGCCTTGAACTCTCTGTGTAGCCCAGGATGATCCTCCGGCCTCAGCCTCTTGAGTGCTAGGATTACAGGTATATGCCACATCACCCAGCTTGTGAATTACTATTTTTTTTTTGTATTTTTTTTTGTATTTTAAAGAATAAAAGAAGGATAACATAATAATAGGGGGGACTTAGCAAATTACAGACAAAATGGTAGGAAATTATCAATGGTTATCGTTTTACATATTATTATCTACAAAATAGTTTCTCAGGAAAACAAATAGACAAATAATAACTATTTATTAAAACTAGAAAAAAATCTGCAAAAGTTAATAAGAGAAACAGAGAGGCTTTGGGCCCCAGCGCTGCAGCCTTGTGGGGCAGACCAGAGGCGCTAGCACGGCTGTATATAAATGTGTCCCCTGAGTTCATGTGTTGGAAGATTAATTTCCAGTGTGTGGGTGTCAGTGCCGACGTGTGGGATATGTGAGAGGACAGGAGGGCTCTACCTTCACCACCAGATGAATGCTGTTGTCACAGGAGTGCGTCCCCTGAATTTGGCCACCCCTCCCTCTCTCTCTTCCTTCCTCCCTCCTCCCTCTTTCTCTTGTTCTTCCACTTTCTGCCCTGGGATGAAGCAGCGAGACAGTCCTTGCGGGATGCTGTGCCCCTGACATTAGAGAAATGCAAATCAAAACAACAGAGATTCCATCTTACTCCAGAAATAAGGGCTGCATCAAGAACTCAAATAAGAACAAACGCCAGAGAGGTTATGGAGGAAAAGAATCTGCTGACATTGTTGGTGGGAATGTAAACTAGTGCAACTACTATGGAAATTAATATGGAGATTCCTGAGAAAGCAAAATAGATTCCACTGGACTCAGCTCTACCTTTTCTGGGTATCTTCCTGAATATCCATGTTTATAGCAGCACAACTTGCAATAGTAATAGCTAAATCTTGGAAGATATATGCATATATGTCTCAACGGATAAATGGATAAAGAAAATGTGGTATTTATACACAATGGAGTACTAGTCTGCCATAAAGAAAAATGAATTTGAGTTATTTGTAAGAATATGGATATACCAGAGCTGGGCATGGTGGCACATGCCTGTAATCCCAGCACTCGGGAGGCTGAGGCAGGAGGATTGTTGTGAGTTCAAGAGCAGCCTGGGCTACAAAGTGAGCTCAAGGCCAGCCTGAACTGCACAGTGAGACCCTGTCTCAAAAAGACCAAAAAAAAAAAAAAAAAAAAAAAGCATACACCTTGAGACCATAACACTAAATGAAATAAATCGGACACAGAAGGTTAGGTATCATACAGTTTCTCTTATATGAGGAACCTAAAATATAAGTAAGTTGAAGAGCAAAATAAAAGATAGATGATGGGAGACAGGGAGATAGGCTATGTGGCGATGGGAAGGGGACCTGGAGATGGGAGAGAGAAGGGGGTACGGAGGGGAGGTGGAAGTAAAAAGGATCAAGATGTGATAGTTACATGCTCTAGTTTTCCATATGAATGTATTTATGTATTATAAACATACATTAATAAAAAAATGTTACCCCCTCCCCAATCTTGGATTTCCTGGCCTCCAGAACCATGAGAAATAAATGTCCATTACAAATTACTTAGTTTTTGGTACTTTGTTGTAGCTGCAGGAAATGGACTAAGGCAGGTAGCTACCTCTTCAAGCAGTACACTGTCTCATCTCTCCTTCCTCTTCATGTGAAGCAGTTGTGTTAAAGTCAAGTGTGTCAAAGAAAATATATGCTTTTATGTTGAGCGTGGTGACACATGCCTATAATTCCAGCATCTGGGAGGCTGAGGCAGGAGAATCACTCTGAGTTTGAGCCCTGCCTGGACTACATAGTGAGTTCAGGGCCAGCCTGGACTACATATTGAGATCCTGTCTCAAAAAACACACGTACAAAAAGGGCCAGGGATGTAGCTCAGCATCATAGCACCTGCCTGACAAATGCAAGGCCCTGAGTTCAATTCTCAGTACCGAAAAAGAAAAGAAGAGCTAAGCTTTTAACATTTTAAATGATTCTAGACATTTTTGTGTGCATTTCAGGTGGTATATGTATTTCTATGCAATTAATTTGAAAGAGTTGGGTTTTTGAGGCTTATAAAATAGTCTACAAACTCTATAGAAACCTCCACAAATAATGAAAAGGGGAAAATGGTAAAAAATACTTTCTCCAAACAGAGAATATTTACCTAGCTAAAAAGTAATATGACTTTATGTTGTCTTTCCATGAGATTGGTTTTCACATATAGAATCTCTCTTTATTTTTGCACATATACTGGTACCTTGGTTCATGCACAGTTCTGTTTGTACACGGTTTGGTTCCAAAATGGAAGCGTTTGGCAAAATTTTGTTTTTTATTTGCAAATTCTGCATTGGGTGACAAACACAAACGTGGCTATCTTTCCCAGACAAACACAAAAATGGCCATTTTTTCCAAAATCATAGCACAAATTAAGTTCATGAACCTATATACCACTGTCTCTTTCACCTGTTCACATGATACTACATGACAGCTGTAATTACAAATGCCGATGCTGGAAAGAGTTTTTGGGATACCACAGTGATGGAATAAACGTGCGACTCAATAAATGGCTCACCTAATGTAGGAGCTCCTTAGCCACACACATTTTTTTCCTTCTTGGTTCTGGAGATTTGAGCTTGGGGCCTTTGGACTGAGTTACATCTTTAGCTCTTTTTAAAAAATTTATGAGTCCTCCACGAGTTGTTAAGTTGCCCAGGATGCGCTTGAACTTGCAGTCCTCCTGTCTCAGCCTCCCAGAGTGCTGAGATCACAGGTATGTGGCATTATACCTTGCTTCTTTGCAAATCTTTGCTGTGAGCACCAGTCAGCATATTCTTGACTGATGGGGTGAGTGTTCAGGAAGCCAGCTAGTTGGCTAATTGCAGATCATGGAAGAAAATTTACATTGTATTAAATAGTATGCATTTACTGTCACTTGCTTAAACATAGATATT